TTTTGGTACTCGGGGCTGTTGAGTTGCTCCCACTCTTTGAACTTCTCACATGAGATTCCTTCATGCTGTGAAGCCCACTAGACAACAAACAACCAGATCAACAGCCTCCATCAATATGAGATTACAAGTACCAGCACAATGCAGGGGCTCAACAGTAAGAATTGTTTAGTTCAGATGTTTACTTGTCTGGCCAACATTTTCAATGACCCAAATTCTACATTTTATCTCTAGAATGTCTGTTTAGTATGTCTCAAACATTTAAAAATATTTAAATATAATTATTTTTTTTTTAAACATTTATATAATAATATTATAGACTATAGTAACATTTATTTATATATGCACCACCGTTCAAAAGCACAGTAATATTGGGAACTATTATTACAATTTAAATGTTTTTTTTATGTTTTTGACTATTCCTGTGATGGCAAAGCTGAATTTTCAGTAGCCACTCCAGTCATCATATTATTGGCCCCAAACTTTTGAACAGTATTGTAAATATTTTTTTTCATTAATTGCTAAGTTAATACTTATACAAAATACCAAGTTTATAATTTAAAGTTAGATCTGCAAAGTATACAGCTTATATCACAGAACTTCATGACTCACACTTTGGTTGGAAGACTAAGGCATATGATGCAAAGCATTGTTGTTTGTAAAGGAAAAACCTACCGGCCTTTTACATTGAAAGCATGTGCTTTTCCCACAGCTGGGGCAATCCATCCTCAGCCTGTTTGCTTCATGAAGGAGCCCAAAGCAACACTAAAAAACAAAGACAACAAAAATATAAACAGACAAAAATCGCTATCATGGTCAGACCTGAAATTAAATTGTATAAAATATCTGCGAATAATAGAACTTACATGTGCACACCAGCGGAAGTTGGGCATTTCCTGCAGTGCCTGGTCTCTGAGCTTCCTCTGAAAGAGCTCATGGATCTGGGGGTCCAAATAATACCTGATCTACACATACAAAATGATTTACAGTTAGTCATATTCAATATTCAATTTCATATGGGCCAAAAAAAACCCTGTTTGGAGCTCCACACCTGTGTGTCGAGTAGACTGAAGTACTCCATAGACTCCTCCTTGCGGCCTTTTTGTACATCGGGAAGATTACACAGGGGACACACAGCATGTACTATATTCTTCTCCTTAATGACAGAGGAGAAGTACTTCTTAAAACAGCTCTCACAGAATGTGCAAGAGCAGTGTGTCATGGTGACCATCTGAAAAAAGAAAAGAGAGGCAGATACTACATTTAGGAATGAAAGATAGCCTACGGTCTATTATCCAAATCAAATGTGTAAAATAATATGACATAACTAAAATCAGGACTCAATTAATAAGGATGGCTGATGTCTTAGGACCAGAGAGAGAGAGAGTTTAATATAAAATACAAAATAAAATGTAATGTTCCTATAAAACGAACAAGTCCTAAATATGCATTAATCATTTAACTATAATCATTAAATATTATAATAATATGATTTTTGAAACAAGTCGCTTATGATCACTAAAGCTGCATTTTATTCGATTTAAAACAATCTTCACATAAACCCATTATAATATATGTCATATTTAGCTACCTGTGCCCTTCAGCAAGGAGGAAATACACAGAAATTGAATAAAGTTATCAAACACTAAATTATAAATTAAATATACGTAGATGAATCCTTAAAGCTCTTTTTTTCTTTGATTTTTTTTTTATTCAGACATCACAGCAGCTGGGTAATTACGTTATTTTGGCTGCTTTAAGTCATCGTGCCACTGATGAACACGATGCAGATCTGACACGCATCGTATTTTCTCACAACTCTTAACCTTTTCTGACCCACTTCAGGTCTTAAAGTCTCTGCTAATGAGCTGACGAGTTGAACCGGGTGTTTTAGATGAGGGAGACAGTGCTGGGTGCTCCAGGACAGTTTTGAAAACCACTGCATTTCAGAGACATGTTCTTAAATGTGACTCATATAAAAAAATACTTACTTACATGAAGAGTTTTAAGGCAGCTTTAATCGCCTTTTTGGTAACTTCATGAGTTAACTGACGACATAACTATGACATTGCATGCTCGTAGTTTTATTTGGACTTTAATATGATACAGTGCTTAATCTAATACAGCACATGCCACCGTATTTGTGTGTGCAATTGAAGAGCACATGCTACAAGTACAGTATAACAGCTGACAGGACAGGACAATTGGTTTTTACTGAGATATGGCTTGACAACATCTCATCTGACCACAGTTCACTGTCATTCTACTGAAGCTCCCTCGTCACCTGTACCTTTTCCGCACTCGTTTGACTAGCGCCTGGCGCTGAGGTGAAGTTGGAGTGCGCGTCTGAAAAATCTCCCATTTGATGTGGTTGTAAAGACGTTCTGCGTCTAAATAAATGCAATTCTTGTCATGAAAAAAGAGACAGAAGCAGCAGTTGTGAGTGGGGTGGCCGACCCTAGCGCCGCACCTGCATTAACTGTGTTAAATATTTTTAACACCGTTAAACTGAAAAAATGAATCACATGCGTTAACGCTAATTTTGACAACACTAATTAATTAAATTTTTAAAAAATAATTAAATATCAATAATAATCATATATTGCATAATAATTTGAGGTAAATAACACATTTTACGTGGTTGCGTATTTTTAGGTCAAGAACACAATTAATTTATTCTCACCCTGTTGAAGGACACTTGCTCCTGGCATATAGGGCAATCACGGCAGAGATATTTCAGAGCAGAGGGGAGGTCTCGGCATGACTGCACTGCTTCCAGGACATCCGTGGAGCTGAAACTGCACCCTTCCAGACTCAAGATGCTCCTAAACATTTCAGCTTTCTCACCTTGAATACCACCTGGGATCTGAAAGTAGGTTCTTTGTGTAATGCAATCCTGTACAAAATGAGTGAGTAAAAAATAGGTGAAGGGCTATCCTGATTTGGCCTCCTCTTACCTCCATGTCCTCAAACTTCTTCAGCTGAATAAGAAATTGCTGCTCATTAATGGTAATCACCCTGTCGGGCTGCCTCAGAACATGCTCTGCGTCTGGAAAAACACAAAAGCGAACAGTAAACTTTTCACTGAAATAGTACATTTTCATTTAGTGGAGGTTAACAGTGATGTCCCATAGTACCTCTTTGGCGTCTGAAGAGCACCCAGGCCTGGTCTGGCAGTGCTGCAGGGTATTTGACATCTAGAACCTCTCCTCCTGCATTCTGCCTCCGCTGGAAGAAGATGGTAAGCTTGTTCTTCATCTTGCTGGGAGAGACGCCCACAGGAAGCCGGCTTACCACCACCTTGTGACGGTCATCCACTAAGCCTGATTGAACTCCACCACCACAATCCTGCCACACTCCTCCAGCATGATGAACATCTATGAAAAATTGTGAGTCTTTTTAAGTTCAGTGTATTATCTGCATTGTTTTACACAATGGTGTGTAAGAGGCCCCAGTACAAACTGGAAAAAACATTATAATCACTTGCATGCTATGCTGCACATATGTTTAATACATATGCAGATACAGATAATGAAAAATACATCCAGAAACGGGATGTCAAGCTCATTTATATTTTATTAAAGATCCAGTAAAACTGCTAGACGATTCCTCTGTTGATGTATTTCTTACTGAAACAGGACTTGTGTGGAACATATTGAAGCTGCTTGATTTGCTACTTTCTAGTCTGCGGATGATGTTAGAGTGCAAAGGTTGGGTTCCGGGAAGTAAAATCCTATTTATTTTCTTCATCGTGGAATTCATTTTTAACAAAAACGTATAAACCCTTAAAGTAAGACCTACTGTGAGCTTTGAGGTTGTTAATCGAAGGTATATGCTTTTGTTGAAGCCATCAAACTGCATTATTTCAACTTAATTTTTAAATAATCATGGTAAAAAGTAGAATTTCCAGTGTGAAACTACCTGACCTGTGATTCTACAAATAAATGTCCACAAATCAGACAACTGCAACAAGCAAAACATTATGAAGGTACTCCCATGAAGCATTGTAATTAGAATTGTACTTCTTTCTCTCATTAAAGCCATCAAGTACCTTTGTCTTTTTGACCAATTTTTTTAATTTCTAATGTTGTGCAAAGTTTCTAATTTTGTAGCTGGTTGGTTTGATTCATGGTTTCTAACTTTTTAATGAAGACTTTTAAAAAAAAATCTCAATGGAAAAAAATACTACTGAACCAAGGCTGCTGAAAAAGTGGGCAGGCACTACTGAATTCTTGAACCAGTATTATGGAAAGGGGCATTTACACTGTAGAGATCAATTGATTGAACAAAACTTTGTAGATGAATTGTAATTTTTAGTTTAGAGAAAAGCTCTTTTATGGAACAATTATAAATGCAAACACTGGCAAGAAGTTAATTTTGTCATCTTTTTACTCACTTCATCAAGTCTTTAAAAACACTGTTAAATTATGTGTTATTTACCTTTCTCCCTGTTGCTCAACTGGTACATGTTGACAACTCTTTGTAATTGAAGGCTTTTGAACAGGTTGTCTATGTCATCAACATTAGAAGCACTGCTGGTGGGAGCTGAAGCAGAGATAATCCTTAATTAATTCAAAAATGTACTAAGGGTGTTTTAAAATATTACAACTGAATAATTAAAAAAAAAAACATATTACCTGAGGCAGGAGAAATAAATGGGTTTGTTTGGTGGTTAGTCTCCAAAGCTTGAGCACCAAACGTGATCCCGAAATCCAGCAGCTCTTGCGTGTATGATCTCCTTACCCCGCTCATCTCTGTTTCACTGGCTTGATTCAGGTTCATCTGGGACTTTGTACTCTTGGGTAGGCCTAGGAAAAGAAACCTTATGGTTAGCCAGGAATAGAAAATGAAAGTCTAAAACAATTTATGGCACTAAACCAATACATTTACACAGTGTATTAGATCAGCATGCTTTCAAGATGGAGATTTCAGCTTTGTCTATCAATCTACTAAAGATCATAGATTCGCACATGCTCTGACACACTGAGCTGTGGCGATCAACTGGCACATTACAGCACAAATGAAGCAGGTTACCATCTCAAAACACCATTTAACTGAAATAAAATAAAATATAAACAGAATTCTAAAATATATATAAAAAAATAACTTAAACTCACTTGAAAAATCTTCTGAGATGTGTTGCTTTGGAATATAGGTTTAATAAAAAAATGTTTACATTTTTTATATATTTAATTTTATTTCAGCTAGTTGCAAAGGCAACATTTCTCATTTTCATTTAGTTCAACTTGATGTACTAAAATAACTAAACCTAAAATTAAAATAAATAAAAACATTGATATATTAAAAAAATAAAAAATAAAATAAAATAAAATGACAAAAAACACACAATAAAATTACTAAAACAAAAAATAAAAACTAATTCAAAATATTAATAAAGACTATAATAGTATCTCAGTGACACTAAAATTGGTATATAGAGAGTACAAAATATTTTTTTCATAAAACTGAAAATCTGAAGTATCCATGCAAGACTATCCATGCAATCCATGCAAGACTAGTATTCAGCAGAAAATCAATGCTTACTGTTGCTGGCATGCTGAGGCACAGATGAGTTGGATGCTCCATGTTGAACTGCTGACATTTTTTGCACTGAACTGCTGCCTGTATGTGGCCAGCTGCGGCACAAGCAAACAAATAGAAGACTGAAGATTACATCAGTATCCACTGATCATTAAAAAGGGGCTAAACTGAGAGACTACTGTCAAATGCTTTTGATAAGAATGACTGAACTGAAACTCAAACAAGCACTGACCTGCCATAAGACAAAACAGGATTCGGTTGAACTACCAGTTCAGCCGGCAGGTGTTTTGCTTGTTGTGGAGGGGTTCGGACTGCATGGGTGGCAAAAAGAGGAGTTTCACGTTGAAAGGCTGCAATCATCTCTTCCAGAACTATCGACAAGTTTGACCAGCCCTGGAAATCAAACATTTAAATCCGGAATGAAATATATACATTAATATCTTCAAATAAGAAAATTTATAATAACTATAAAACTGACTTACAATCTTCCAGTTGCTGAGGCAGTGGAGAAGGACGCGACCATTGGCATCAACATTGCTGGTTTTAGCATTGATGATCATGGAGGGTGAAGGGCAAACAAAACACCTGGGTGGGTTTTTGGGATGGGTCTCATGGATCCAAATGCAAACTGGAATGTTGTACGTAGCACCTTTGTAACAACATGATACATATTTAATGATTTGTAGTTGGTGGAAAGCAACTACAAACACTGGATGGGATTAATTATAGGTTACAGTAAAGCTACTGAAACCAGTTACCTTCATATGTTATAGGAACAGTGCCACCCAAATAAACCAACTTCTTCTTATCATTGTTGGGATAGACTGTAGAAAGAGAAGAGAACCGAACTCAGGAAATACACATGCAAGAAAATGTGCACAGTAAGCAAAATGTCTACATAGCAGTTATACACTTGTTTTGAGAGAATTTTTATGGATTATATAGGAGGACATGGACTTGTCACAGTCTGTAAACCCATGAATATTTCTCAGTGTACATTTACTTGTAAAAGTCTATTTCAGTATAGGCACAAACAAACCCATTCTTACCAAAAAGGAAAACCATAATGATAACTACATTACCGTTCAAAAGTTTGGAGTCAGAAAAATAAAATAAAATAATAAAACTGTTATTCAACATGGACCCTTTCAATTTCTCAAATGACAGTAGAGACATTTATAATTTTATTAGTGCTGTCAAACGATTAATCGTGATTAATAGCATCCAAAATAAAAGTTTTTGTTTACATCATTTTATAAATGTTATGTATTTTATAAATAATCAAATAATCTATTTTAAATAAATGCTATTCTTTTAAACTTTCTATTCATCAAAGAATCCTGAAAGAAACATTATGACTTGGTAACAAAAAATGCTATTGAACATAGCTTAGGGAAAAAGAAACCAATTGTGGGGTATTTAGACTATTATAGGCCTTTCAGCAAAATGATGAGTAAGTAACAGTAATTATGACACACAAAAGAAATTCATGGAACAGCAAACATGTAAAAGGCAACAGAAGTAACATAAAACTAATGTTTTGGCAAACAAAACAATTGAAATTAATTGTTTACATTTATACATTACTTGCCCTGATCTGATATTAATGAAATTTGGTTAACTGTCTTCTGACTTTTGTCTGCATGTACTGTATGCCCTTGAGGTTTTGTTGCATTCACTGTTATTGCAAAAAATGATGACACTGAAGTTTCAATTCAGCACTCACAAACATTTTAATTTAAGAGTTTAAAATAAAAACTGCTTGAAAACCACACCCCTGGTGTGCTTTCAAAGATAAACTTACGGTAATAGTCCACGTATAACTGCAGGTGTGGGAAATCTGTCGCCACGTCTTTTATGTCATCAAGCACCTCATCAGGGTAACAGTAATTACACTATTGGGGAAAATATGAAGATAGTGATCACTGATCAGTAAACAAGATGATCCTGATGCACCACAACCTCAACACGACAAATTTATCATGGTAACCAATACCAGTTACGACAGCCATTGTGTTTACAACAAAACTGTGGGAACCTGGTATTAATCACCACTACCAAAAACAACGTAAACAAAATGACAGAAGATTCTGAAAGGATAATCCATTCTTTATAAGGGACTTTATTATGATTTCCTATCGGACATCTATACTGAAATATCTAGTTCAGTATGTCATCCTTAATACTGCAGTACCGGTAATTAGCTTATTAGCTCATGAACAATTACAATCTGGTAAACCATAGCTGCCTCGCTAGTGTTGACAGTAAACCTACCTCGAGAAGTGTTTGACACTTCAAATCAGCTGTAACGCGCGACATCCTCTAACTGCACGAGCACCGCTCATGCACTCAGCGTCACGTAACTTTACAATAAAAGCTGGAACTCATATCTGTTGCTTCTTCCATCGCTTAAGTTTAGATGTCATTCAGGCAGTTTTGGTTTCTTTTGCCCATGAACATCGCTACGTCTCACTGATACGGAAAGTTCAAACCTGGTTGCAGTAGTCTGCCATATTGAGTGTGTCAGGAAGTAAGCTGTTTGAGTTCTTCGATCTTTTGTCTTATGTTCCGGTATTTGTTTTTCAAACGCTATTTATTTTTCAGCCTAACTGAATTTGTGTTCTAGATAACAACACAGAGATAGAGGCAAAGGTCACGCACATATTAAAACGATATTCCTGATTGTCGAGCTTAATATGGACGTAAACAACGTCCATTGATGCAGTAGCCTACCGCTGGATGTCAGTATAACACATACAATCTCTCCATCACTGCACTGGCGCTGCATGTATGTTTATCATTTATCTGGGTCATTGTAGAAGGTCTTGTAGAATTTTACTATTAAGGAACTGCCATTTGTTTTTAACTGTGAATTAAAAGAAAGTAAAGTCCAGTTGCTTGTAAATTCATTCTACCACACAAAGTTTAGTTTGCAGGGAAAAAAAAACTGCATACTGGAATAGGCCTATGTTTGCAGTGTAATGTGCAACAAATGACAAAACATGTATTATGAAGCTACAAAGCTGAAAAATAATGAGCCTGCTTTTCCTCGTTATAAATAGCTGAAAATGTTGAGAAAAAGTTGTCACAAATGAGGTATTTAAAAAAATCTCTTGCTTCTGTCAGGACATGGCAGTAATGTTTCTTATTTGTTTATATGTCTGTTTATATATATATTTGAATCTATATGAAATATGGTTTTGGGGTTTGGGGGTGAATGTAATTGGATTTTGACAAAATACATAAAAAATGTAACGAAATGGTATATTTGCCTTTTTAAAACTTTTCAGGTAAAGTTGTAGAACATATTTTATCACAAGAATCAATAAAGATCATGCTTCCTTAAACCTTGTAATTGAATGTCCAAACTAATCTTCCTTCATGAAACAACTGTTCAAACATTATGAGAAAGAAAAAGTCTGATTCACTGGCCATTTCATGGTTTTATACTGCCAGACAGCATCTAGAATTTAAGCTCCATGTAGTTGGCCAAAACAATCTTGCGCTATATCCTACCGAGATAACACAGACTAATTTTCTGACTTATTTCCCATCTACCGAGTTCATTTTTTCAGAACCCATGAGGTGACCATGAACACAGGACTGAGTGGGTGGACAGACAGGCCATAGAAGAAAAAAACCCAGTGATTTATGATGGAGAGGTAGAGATAAGAGAAGCAGTGAAACGAATGTAGTTGTCACTCAGTTGTGATGGCATGACCCGGGTTTCTGCTGATGACAATGTCTCCCTGCCATGTGTGATTATGCTATAGTGTGAAGGTGACCCCCAGGAGAATGAGCAAGTCTTCTGAAAGTGGGGCAATGCATTGGGGAAATAGACATTCTGATAGATGTTCTCTTTTGATTTTCAGTATAATTTCAACTTTCTGCTCTTTTAGTTATTCCTCCAGAAGTTTTAATATAAATGTTCATTGTATGTTCCATATATTCTTACTCTCTGATATAGCCTTCTTCATTTTGATTGGTCAGTCGCAGCTTTCAGCAGTCCGATACTTCCTACTATTAGCAGCTGGCCATAACAATGCTATATCCACTTTATTTTTCAACATAGAAGTAAGCTACTTCCTGTGAGACTTCTGATTAATTTGTTGCTATGGGTAAATAAATAGAATAAAAACAAAGTGCAATAAATGTTAAAAACATTTGCGCAATAAACCAGTTTGTTAATTTTTATGATAAGAAATTAATACAACATGATATCAAATTACAAACTGCAACTTCAAGTACCATAACAGAATGTTCATGTACAGCAAAAATAACTGGAAGCGGCTGACACTGGAAGCCTTGCACATTCAAGTTACAAAGGGTTTCAAGTTTTCAAGTTTCACAATCCTGTGCTTATGTTAAAAATAACTAAACTGAAACCAGCGCTACTTTCATATCTCTTCTATCACATCACAAACTAATTTTATACAAACACAGCTTGCACCAGCTCAGTTATTGATTCTGATGTGAAAATGATGGTGTTCGTCTTGATTTATGCCAACTTGTAATGGACGATTTTTTTCTTACTGAAGATAATAAAACAAATATTACAAATTAATATTTCATGAACACATATCCATTTATTTGGTGAATAGCCAAATAATAAGTACCGCCAGCCATTCATTATTGCAAAATAAATTCCTTTAGGCTCTGCATCAAGGTGGATTTTGAGATAATGATCAACTGACTGTACATTGTCCATTACATATTTCAGCACATTAAAAATGTCAGTGAGCCTACTAACAAGATTGCTTTTTGCAAAGCAATCCAGGACACCACAAAGGTAATAGTTTCCCAGACACACTCTCAAAATTTTTGTGTGAATCGATGGTTGTAACATAACAGCTTTCTCCGGCCAAGGTGAGATGGTCTCTCAGGTCCAGGCCTCATTGTGCCACTGCCCTACTTCCAGACAATGGAAGCACACTCCATTGCACAGACTCTCCATGCTTTTCACTTTGGCAACAGCAGGCCTTCTTCGCTATTGCCCCTGGAGTGAATTTACCCCAGCTGTGCATTAAGCCTTTCAAGTCCCCCTCTCTCATCACATACACACGCACACACAATCACAAAGTGTACACACAATGCTTCACAGTCTTTATTGGTTCAGGGTTAGGCCGTACACAGCTGCAGCACACACTTGAATCCAGACTCAAACAGACCGATGCTGTCTGAGGGCCCATTTGAAAACCTCTCTGAGGTTCAATAATGGCGACATTACTAGCAGCTAAGTCTCTTTGTCACATGTGAAGTTTTCCACACGAAAGTGGGCATGCGATACACACTCCTGCCTGGAAGGATATAAAAGTCCCGGAGGCATCAAGATCCCTTCAAATTAGTAGGCGTGCAAGACTTTGCGGGGACTAAGAAAGCAATGCTATTGGTCCTGACCAAATAGCTCTAATTAAAACCTGGTGCAGGGTGGAGGGCTGTCAGGGTGGGACTGTGAAGTCAAAGTAATCCAAATTGGGAAAAAAAACTTTTCTTAACAAGGTTTTCAATCTACAAGCTTTAAAATAAAACAGAGATATAGCTAGAGTTTCATGCATTGATTTATTACCTATTGCACAAAGACAGTTTCACAATTCAAAATCCACACTTCGTGATTATACCATTTGCCATGCCAACTTTTGTGGAAAAGTAGTTTAAAAAGCTAGAGCCAAAAAAATAAGGAATTAAAGAAAAAAAGCCAGAAGAAAAAAGCCCACTTGTTCTTATGTACTGCAAGTCTGTATCCACCTTATTTTGCAATGCAGAAGTAAGCTGTTTTCTCTGAATGTGCAAGACTTCTGATTCATTAGCTGCTCTATTACTTGAAAAATAAGTGCAGTAAATGGTAAAACTATTTGTGCTACAAACCAGTGTGTTTATGAATAGGATAGTGAATTAAAATAATATGATAAGAAATACTAGTTTGCAATATCAAGCAGCATAACAGGCTGTTTTTGCTTTGTAAGAATAACTGAAAGCAGATGACCGGAAGCTTTGTGCATTCAATGTACAAACTGGCGCACACTTTTGTTAAAAATAAGGTGGCTATATAAACCAGGCTATGTGCATATTTGATAGTGTGGAAATATCTTAATGTTGTTGAGTTTCTGAATAAGTGTATTTACCAAAAGGATTTTTTAATGCACTTTTTTGTGCTTTTGAACTGGTTGAAGGCTAGAGGGCTTGTCAGATCCACTCCAGCCCAGAGAGGGGGCACTCTAATGGGGTTTGTCATCTGCTAATGATAGCTCACAGCCGTGAGCCGCCAGAGGTTTAGGGGAGCTTTGCAGGAGGGGAAGGGATCCATAATGATTTGCCATCTCTTAATGAGAGCCAGTGGGCATCCCTGACCAGTGCTCAGCTTGCATTACTACAGGGAAAAGGCAAGAGAGAAACACCCCACTGGAAAAGAGCAGTCGGCCGTTAACCCTTCAGCCTGCCGCAGCACATTTTCCATCAGCACCCCTCTAAAGCTGTCCTCGCCTGCATTAACCCTTTAATCATTTACAAGTGCACATTTAACACAAGCTATCTTATTAGGTCGGAGAAACATGGCATTCAGCCTGAAAAGCCCATAGCAGAGTAACATTACCCTTACCAAAAAGTAGTATACTTCAAGTTTATTTTAGTAAGTATACTTAAGTAAAGTTCAAGTATATTTTTAAGTATACTTTATGTAGTAAGTATACAAATATCAGTGTACTAGTAGTATACTTGTAATACTAATAGCACACTTGAATAAACTTCTTTTTCGTAAGGGTAGGCTCACTGCCTAAAACATCTACTTTATGTTTCACATAACAGATGGTCAACAGTAAGCTACACTTGATACGAACAGGTACTATATTATGAATGAACCAACCTGCTAACTGCTACTCTAGATATTTTGCTTCCATTCAGAGCCACATTTGTAAACCTTTGCATAGTTTAAATGGCAGAATTTAATGAAATAAAAACAAATAAATTCATAATTAAGAAATATCACACAAGCACGATTGCATGCTGTTGTTCTGAATGTCAGTAAAGCTTTTACAGAGCTTTATTTAGACATTTAGATTTTTAATACATTGCACTTTAAAATAAACTTCTAAATGTGTGTTCAGTAGTTCCCATGTAAGAGGCAACATATTTGAATGAAGTGATAAAAAGCAGCTCCAAATATTTTATAAAATATACATACTCTCTGCAACAATAAAACGTGTAACACTTTACGTTTTCCTATTAGATTATATGTAATAACTAATTAATTGAACTCATACTGAAAAGTTTCCTTAAAGGCCCAGACTTACAATGGGTGCTGTGTGAGCATGTCCATTAAGTCCACGAGACCATAGGGTGTGATCATTTCTTTCAAATACTCAGAAATAGAAATAGAACAGATTGTGAAACTAAGGTTGCTCTGAGGTTGAGGTGAGTGTTACTGTTCTTTTGTAAGAG